GGCTTCACTGCTGTGCGCCCCACGGACTGCACGAAAGGAGGAGTGGAGGAGCAGGCCGGATGCCGCATGGAATGTGAGGGATGTTGTGTGGGCTGGTGGGAGAGTACAATTCCTTTTTTTGTGTGTGTGTGTGCGGGCAGTATGTATAAACTCAAAAACACGGTTGCATTGTGCTGCGTGGCACATGAAATGACATATCTGCCGAGTCAATTGTTTTTTTTTTGCTTTTTTTTTCTTTCGGTAAATCACTACAGTCTCTTTTCCTTCTGTGCCGTGTCCCATGTCACTTTTTGTCTTCGTGTCCCTTTTTATTGTCCCTCTGCCGGCTGTGCTGCTGACACGCCCCCACTTCTTCTTCTTTTTCTTTTCTGCTAGAGGCGCCTATGGTCCGCGACGACGATTGTTTGTGTTCCCCCTTTGCGATGGCACGAGGGTGACTGGGCGCCGGCCTGCTGAGTGCACTCGGAGGGAGCGGATGGTGTGCCCCGTACCTCAATTTTGAGTGTGGGACGCCGCCCGCCACGACCCGCTGTGAGGCGCAGCGCTATTCCGTCGCGGCGGAGAGAAGTGAAGGACCGCGCCGTGGACTTGAATGCGCCCCGTCCCTCTTTTTGCGGCCGTGTGTGTGTGTGTGTGTGCTCTGGATGCCCAAACCCACTTGCCCCGCAAATGCGGCAACGGAAGGATATGGTTGCGTGGAAGCGCCAATGCCACTTGAATCAAACCGTGCCTGTGGCACGCACGCAAACAGGAAAGCGAAAGGAAGGATTATTCGTCTGGGCTGCTGGCCGGATCCTCAAATTTCCGAAGGAAATAAAATACGACAGAAAGGGAGAATGAGTAAACGGAGAGGCAGTGGGTTCGCCAAATCCTCGTTGCTTGCTCCGCATATATGTGTATATTTATATATTCTGGTGGCCCCTCTCTTGTGACATGTTGAACGCTCTATTCGGATATGCCTATTTTTATAGCTTACGAAGTGGCGGACTTTGGGCCTCTCCAGCCAAAAGACCCCGTCGCAGGGGTGGGAATCAAGAGAGGGGGCGGATGGTACGGCATAAATAAAAATATTCAGCTTGACGTTATCGGTTCCTTTGGTTGCTTCCATCGCGCTCTTCTAAAGGAATTCATGCGATAGGAAGGAATAGTAGAGAGATATGTCTTTGTTTCATTGGGAGCTCGTGAGGAGGATGCTCATGAAGTAGGCTGGCGTCCCTAATGTATATGTATCCTGTTAAAACGGAGATATTCCTTCACGATCCTTTTCTATTTTGTGAATCCTTGGTTGACCGCGATTGAGGGAATCAGGGAACTGTTAGCGTCCAGACGATTTGTAATTATTTTAGTTTATACAGCCACTCGGGATCCCTGCAAGCTGATTGAAGGAAATGGCAGTGTTTCCTTTTACACTGCGACGGGGAGGAGCGACATTGGAGCCCGCCTGTTGGACTTGGCACGCCAGCATTGCGATGTCCGGGTGCAGCTCAGCTTCGTTGATGAACACGGGCCGTTGGATGCGGTGGTAACCGTCGCCGCAACAATGACAGGCTTACGCTTGGTTTCAGGAAACATCGCCATGCACTGGGAGGAGCTGACCGTTGCGGGGCACTTTCCGAATCGCCGGGCGCCTCAAGTACCTAATTTCGAGGTTCTAGTGCTGCTGCCCATCGTGTTTGGGCGGCCTGGGAGTTGGGAGTCCAGCAGGGGCTGATCATTGCTGGAAGTCAGAGGTTGAGCACCGACTACGCCAGCGCCGTCGCGGACGTTGCAGATCGGAGTGCTCAGCTTTACTCTCAGGTGGAAGAGGCGCATAATCACTTGTCGGCACGCGGATCTCACATTACGGGACGCGGAGACGCCGTGTCAACGCGAGACGCCCACCTCTCGGAGAGGGCCGCCAGATGAACCCCACAGCCGCATCCACGTTTCCCCAACGCACTCTCACGGGAGGGAGACGGCGGGTCAACACCCAAACGTCTCAGGACAATTTTGGGCGACCACATCTTCCTCACTCGATGCCTTTGCCTTTCCACACCTTCCCCTTGGAACATGGCTTCGGTGCAGAGGATCAGGTACTGCATTTCCTTGCATTGGACGTCAACACTTGGGCCCCGCGTGTATGGAATGACGTCGTCTCCGGAGTCCTCGTCGACCTCCGATGCGCATACGGTTATTATTGGCACCGTGGGGATGCTCACGCTCAAATTGCCATCGACGGTTTTGTGTCGTGCAGACGCGCGCTGGAGATAGATCGGGAGCCCACCGATCAGTTCATGGATTTTGGCAGGGCCCTGCCGCAGGACTTTCCGGATGCTGATTGCGATAACAACCGACCCCAGCATATCCCGCCCTCCACACTTCGTGCCCGCCTTCACATGGCCGTTCGCGCGGCCGACAAATACGCGAGGGTGACTGGGCCTTTCGTGGATTGACGGGGAACCCGACCACCACAACAGCGATCTTTGCGGTGCCAATTGTGTCGTATTTATTGAAACGAGGCTTCTACATGCAGCGTGCGCCCCGAAAGGGGTTTCCCGAACTACAGACGAACGTCAAGAGACGGCAAAGGGGCTGCTGGCTGCTTACGAGGGCGGAGGAAAGCAGCCCCATCCATTCCACCACCACCTTTCCGCACACAAGGCATCGCGCCGTGCCGCTGACACTTCGTCTGATCTTTCTAATCGCCCGAATCAATCGACGAGAAGGGCAATGGAGCTTATCCGCCAACGATGCTCGACTGTGGTACGACGAACCTCCGACATCCCCGCTTTGGGCCAGCTATATGAGGAGAGCGAACGAGGCGGCTCGATAAGTGTGTGTGCCGTCAACGTGGGAGCAGAGAATTTCCCTGGCGGGGCAATTTACAACCTTTTGCTGGACGCACGAACGGCCGATCAACGCGGAGAGCTGCGCGGACTCTTGGCGGCAATATTCGTGGCGCCATCGACCCGACGGCAGCACGCCAGGATGCTGCGGTCCATGTTGGAAATGAATCGAACCCCGCTGGACATGATGGTTCTGGGGCTAAAGGAAATTGCGGCGCGAACCGAGACGAGGCAGACGCACCCCTTGACAGAGGACGAGATGAATCGGTATATCTGCGGCCGGACCGATTGGAGGGAACGCGTTGTTTTTCGACTTGCGTGGATAACGGCGAGTCGTTGGTCCGATATTGCGGCCTTAACCCCCAACAATTTCACACTGGAGCGTGACGGGACCGTAATTTTGGATTGGTCCGTGGCGCCGAAGACGGCGAGGGCGGATCCCCACCGCGCCTCGCGGTTTGTCAGGATACGAGAGTAGGATGAGTTTGACATCATACAGTTATGCAGGACAATTCGACGCAACGAAAAGCTTACGAACCTTACGACTGCCCACGTCGAACGAGCTCTGGCTCTTTGGGATGCCATGGCGCATTCCATAAAACGCGGTGCGCTGCGGCACGCTACTCAAATCGTGGAGACACACAATTTGGACCCACACGTGATCTCGCAGTTGGCGGTGCAAGTCGACCCGTTCGACATTCCCCAGAATACTGCTCGATATTTGGGGAGGTACACCACAATGCTGACCCGGGTGTCGTCGCTGGTTGTATTGATGTGAAGGGAGGAACTTCGGAAGGTCAGGAACCCTGGTTGGGAGCGGAGGAGCGTTTTTCCATGATTTTATCATCCTGCTGCTTCAATTGCACGACGCGCGACAAGGACGCGTCTGCTCGCTCCACAAGATGAACGAACCATCCCGCTACAGCAGGTCAAGGTGCCCGCATTGAATCCAGAGTGGATCAAGGGCCGGTTGAACTCGGCCACCTTGGAGAGGCCCATGCAAGTTTGGGGACTCGTCGGGCGTTTCCCTTTCCTCTGGTAAAGCGCGCGAAGGCTCACGGAGGATTCTTGTCGCTGAGGCGCGATTATTGAGGGAAGCGGGAATAATAGTGGACGCTTCGTCTGCAACAACAGGCGGATGGATAATACCCTTTTCAGTTGTGGAGGAGAAAACCACCGGTTTGCGACGACGATGGATCGCGTGGCCACGCGACAAGAAAATAGACGACCCTTACGAGGCTGATGTTCCTCTTTTCTACAGTTCCCATTATTTGCCGCCTGTGATGGCTGAGGCCGCTTCCTGCCTGGATTTAAAGGCGTCCTTTTTTCAAGTCTCTTTACCGCGGGAGACTCGGCATCTCCTTTGATGCCGCGTGGAGACGGCACGCTGGTGGAGCTCACGGCTCCCCATGGGATGCAAGGCCAGCCCAGAAACTCTCCAGATTATCATTTCAGCAATTGCGGGGGTGACGACGGTGGCTCACCGCCTCTGGGCCGCACCTCCACGGGTGCGTGTCGACGTATGGATCGATAATATCCGCATTGCAGGGTCGAGAAGCGACGTGACATTGTGGGAGGCCCAAGTGCTTCGTAATGCGGACGGCCTTCACGCCACGATAGGGGAAGATCGCGAGTCGGCAGCACGCAGTACACCTTCCTGGGAGTGCTGTTTGATCATACATATCAGGCGGTATCCCTGAGCGACACGTTTGTCCGGTCCGTATGCGCCATGTCGGCGCGGAATTCTTCAACCATCGCGGAAATGGAGGTTATGGCGTCACGCTTTTTGTCGTATTTTGGCAGTATGCGACTGCTACTTTTTCGAGGCGGTGCGACGGCGATTATCCGCACTCAACCGGGGAATTGTGCAGGAGACATCCCCGGCTAACGTTCCGCCGGCAGCGGTTGGTTTGGGCGAGAGATTGCGACACATGGTCGAGAACATAGTTGCAAGCGAAACGTCAATGCCACTGAAAAGGCATCGGCCGCCGTCATCACGGACGCATCGCTCCATGGATGGGCAGCCGTTTATATTCCAGACTCCGGCGACGTTAAAATTGCCGGGAGGAAATGGAAGAGGAAGGCTTTTCTTATCATGCAGGCCTCGGTGCGCGTGGTACGCTTAGCCTTATCGGCCTTTCCCGCCGTCTCGCCACCCACCATGGACATTGGGTGGACAACACTTCACTGCAAGGAGCGGCGAATAAGGGCGGCTCACAATCACACGCCATGACGTGGGAGCCGCAACGGATATATGAGTTTTTTGACTCTCGCGGAGTACAGGCATCCGTTGCCTACGTGCGGTCTGCCGAAAGGCAACCCCGCAGACGGCATATCACACGGTCGTGTTTTTGCACTTCAGGACGTGGCGAAGGGTAGAACTTGCGAAGGGCAGCGGCGGAGTCTTGTGGCTGGAGGACCCCAAAGTCTGCCACTTCGTAAGTAATAAATACATATACATCCAATCCGAGTAGAGTGAGCGGGCCACAATTGTGGCTATAGGATGATGTATATATATACATTTACTTGGTGTAAAGTTTGAGGATGTGGTGAACCCACTCTTATTCCAATCATTCCTTTCCTATTCCTATCTCGTGTGGTTTCTATGATTGATAACCTCACGGTTTGGCCAGTGGCCCAGAAGATTATTCTTTTTTTTTTTTGGTAAATCGGTTTCTTGTTTGCCGGGGTTTTTAACCAAATGTGTAAGATGATAAAGGATTACACACAGATAATGAGATATCTACGTAAGAATCTGTTCTGACTTCCATCTTTTCTGGTTGTTTACAGCAGTGATGTGACACTAATTGAATAGCTTTGTGTATTTTTTTTTTTTTTTGTGAAAGTAGGTGTGATGTTTTGTTACCACTTGGAGCTGCTGGGGTGTGAGTGGAGTTCTGGTCAACCACTGGGACTTATCTCAGCAGCGTGTTTTGAGGTCCACTGCCGCCGGCGTGGTGCCCGATGTCGAGTGGCACATTTCCCAGCGGAGTTTACGGTGCGCAGTGCCCCAGAGACCGACAACCTTTCTCTCTCTGTGTTGTGTGGGGAGACCGTCGTGGCAAGCAGCAACGTCATCGACATTGGCGGTGTTAGCCGGCGTGTGGGGGTCCGTACAGTGGCATTAAAGGCCGGGGAAGAAGTGATATGCAAAGTGCGCATTATGTGGTGTGTTGAGGCAGAAGATGGGACGGTGTTTTCGAGATGTGTAGAGGATTACGAAGAAAGTGAGCGTTCTGCGGCAGTGGATGTAGGGAAGCATGTTTTTTCTACATCCCCCGAAGGGCCGCCGGTGGTGGAACGTACGCCATCTACGGAAAAAACATCTGTTGTTTCGGGGGCCACCCCCATTCGTTGCGAAGTATGGGAGCCAACTGCAAAGCCGCATCAAACAGCACAAGGCGTTGTAACCGTACAGAGGAATTTTCGACCACCTGGTCCGCAAGAAAAGGGAGCTGAGTGGTCTGTAGGCAGCCCGCAATACGCCCCGAAGGGTATTCTTGACTACTACGTAACCTCCACACAGGTTATCGATCGGCCAAGGGCCTGGCGAAACTTGTATACCAGCTCTGCTCCGCTTCTTGCTACGAATGGTTTGATACGAGAAGAGACGGAATCAACTGCGACGAGGTCGTGTGAAAAACACTGTGGAAATTCCAGCCTTTTTTCAATTCAAAGGGGTTTGGCCCTCGAAGACATTCGTCTGCATCCGACGAAGGCGCCGGAGACAACAGATGCCGATTTTCGCCGCGCCCTTTACAGAAAGAAAATGAATGTGAAGTGGCGAGGATTTATTTCTCCATCACATGCTTCCCTACGGGCTACGACGCATGAGGGTTCATGATTGAGAGGGATGCCACGTAGAATGGACGAAGCAACGATGGTGTTCCCCTCTGAAGAATAGATGCTGTTTATAAAGCGGTACATACCAATGCAATTCTTTTCTGGGGGCTGCCTGTTTCGTAGTTTCCACGAATGAAAAGGGCTTTCTCTTATTCTTTTTTTGTACTTGATATTTATTTATTAGTCAAACGAAAAAAAAAGGCAAATCAACAACAAAAAAGAGGGAAGGGAAAAGGACCTTACATATATCTATATATACATACATATATATAAGCATTATCATTATATTTTTATAGTAAATATATAAAAAAAAACACAAAATGGCAAGTACCCTCGTTGCTGGTACACTCAGTGTTCTTTTGCCAGTGGGTGGCGTCATGGGCTACCGCAAAGGAAGTGCTGCGAGTCTTGTTGCAGGGTCAGTAACTGGCGCCTTGATGGGTACATCACTCTTCTTTTTGCTGAAAGATCCTGCAAGCAAGGCGGGCAACAGGATTGCTGCCGCCGTATCGTTTTTTCTTGCCTCCACCATGGGATACCGCTACTATAAGGGTCGGAAGACCGTTCCCCTTGTCATTTCCTCGGTGAATGCATTCAGTCTTTTGGTTTTTGGTCCTAATTGTTTTTAGTCGGGCAAGTGGCCTATTTTTTTTTGCCATTTTTGTTTTTGATTCGGACTGTAGCTTTTTTTATGAGCTTTTTTTTCTGTGGGGAGAGGAATGCGCATTATTAGGGACATGTTAGGGGAAACTGGGTTGAAATGTTAGGAAATAAAGAAAAAAATCTTATTGCTCTTGCTGCTTCAACGGGGTGGAGTTGTGCTGTTGGTGCAGCGCTTTGGAAGAAATATTATTATTATTTTTTTCTTTTTTTTTTGGTTAAATTTTCCCTCTTGCTAGGGGATGAGGCGAAGATTTTGGGTGCTGCTACACTCGCTGCAATGGGCCGGGCGGTGTAGCAGTTGCAAGGGCAAATCCAGTGCCGACAATTCCGACGGTGCAGGCGAAGAGGAGGCGGGGGCGAAGGATGAGGCGTTGCAACGACTTGTGCACTCACTCGGATTTGAGATGCAGGAAATGGAACGACTTGTGCGCGGCTTTGCCACGGGTGAAAAGAAATCTACAGTTGCCGCACACAAAAAGGATTCTGCGTCTTGCAACAGTCTTGCAGATGTGTGTACGAAACACTCAGTGTTTTTGCTGCCGTTTTGTAAAGTGGCAATGGCGTACAAGGGTTTGAGGGCCACGTCCGCAAAATACAGAGGCACGGCGGGAACCGTGACGACCAGTGAGTACGGGGAGACGGAGGCGACAGCTCTGCTTCACCGCTGTGCCCGCCGCATTGGAGCGAAGGTAAACATTCGGGAGGTGAAGGATCTTTCCGAAATTCAGTTGCTTGGAGGTGCACTTGCCACACTGTTTGCGGCGCTTTGGGACTCTATGCGGGGGTTTCGGCGCGAGGGTAAATACCGCTGGCAGGAGCTTTTGAACGGTGATGCAGAGAAGGTAAAACAACTACACACATGGCGTTACGAGGTAATTAAGATGCATGTGGAGGCTTTTGTATCTCTTCAGGATGCGTGTCGTTCAGTGTTTGGCATGGCCTTAAAGGATGTCCCCAGCAGACAAGGTGATGCAGCATTTAGACAGACGTTGTGCCTGTGCATTAGCACGATCAATTCCATGACGCTTGCTATTTCAGATGAACTTCATTGGCATCTTTCGCGGCCTTCTGTGAAGAAAAATGACGAAGAAGAACGGCGGCTGCTTGAACGCCGCATAACCGACTGCGTTTCATCCATGCGGAATTTAACCAACACGTTTTTGGCAGGGATGGTTGAGGAAAACGTCACCGTTATCGAGGACGCGGAAGGTGGCGTTCAGATTTTATCCGTTATTTGCGCGATTGAAGATATTCTTGCAGTCATGGAGAACAGCGTAAATCTTCCCGTTGGCGTGGATGGATTTGATGACAGCCGCTTTTTCACGTTGTTGATCATGTGGCTTTTACAGACCGCGTCGTCACTTTTTCACGCTCCTTCCTTGAACGAGGAGCGGCGGTTTGTTTCGTGTTTACAAAAACTGTGGCAGAAGTTGGCACCCCCACTTGAGCAGCGCTCCAGTGACAAGGTGATGACGCACCGCACGATACATGCTTCTCTTAACCTTCGCTATGCCCGCCTGAGGTCTGAGCCCCAAGGAGGTGAAGGCGACAAGTCGTTTGTGTCAAATCCGGCAACGTCAGCGCTTCTCCTTCGGATGCTGGAACGCACTGTGAGCACATTTCTCTCATGGCAACTAAAGCGGGATGCAGTAAAGCCCTCTATGGTGCTTCCCTATGCTGTCCTTTGCCGCACAGTGTTGGAGGTGGAGGTGGAAATATACTTTTTGGCGTGTAAAAAGACGGGCCGCGAGTTAACAACTCCGACGGATCTTTTCCACACGGGGGTGGATAACAGAAAAGAGGGCACACCTACGGATTTGGAATGGGAAGAGATTTTGAAAGCGACGTCTTCTTTGCGTGTTGCCGTCAGTTCTCTTGTGCATGCGTACATGCGGGCTTTTGTGTCGCAAGATTTGTCTGCGTTTGCGTTAATGGAGGGAAAAAAAGGTGATTTTTCATTTGTTAAGCGCTCCGTGTATCGATTTATGAGCGGCATTTCAACCTCCTTCTTTCCACTGCTTCGCCGGCACTACATTGACAGTGCCGGAAAGGAGGTGCTGACGAGCTCTCTGCGTTCTTTTTTGGCTTTGAAGCAGGTGAGTGACATCATGGATGGTGACGGAGAGGAGCGACGCCATGGAGTAAACTCAACGTTTCGAGTGTGTGGAGTGAGTCTTTCACAGGCGACGGAGGTGGCTTTTTTTCTCTCTTTATATCGTCGCGACCATTTATCACTAATAACTGGGTCAAGTGATCCTGCCGATGCGATTGATGGCCATGCGATTTCTTCATACGTCAAGGAGGTTCTGTTTGCTCTTGATCACAGCACAGCGAAGCAGCTGTGGCATTTGCGCAGCACAAAAGTTTTGCGGTGCTTTACGGGTGTCTCGTACGAGGGTGAAGTCACCGACGAACGGCAGCAGCGAAGGCAGGCACAATCAATTCTAAGTGTTGTACATGCGCATGTCGTTCATCCCTCATTTCTATGGATGCCTCTTTTTCAGCTGCAGGAGGTGTTGTTCGTTTTGGCACAAAACCGAGAATTAATTGAGGGACTCCAGCCGTATTTAAAATCCCCGAAGGCAGATGATTCAGCGACACTTGCTGTTTTTCACGTAGGATCTGCGGGTGGGACGCTCCGGCACTTTGCGAAGGTACTCGGATATGTCGCGTTGCGTCTTTATGTGGTGAGCAACGTCCTCCGCTGCTATCGCGAGCTTCTTCCGACGGAGGAATGTCCCTCGCGCCTAGCACTGAGGGATTCTACGTCTGGGGCGAAGAAACGGCGGGAGTGGGCGAAGAACATGGCTCTCACGCTGCAAAAGAGCTTCCCGGGGTTGGCGGCAGAAGTGGAAGGACTTGACCCCAAACGTCGCACCCACCGCAAGCGGGCAAATCGACGCGTCCTGGCGCGACTGGAGACAGCTTGTATTTTTGCGGTGGACCAAAAATTGCTGTTTCATGTCAAGAAGCAACGGAGGAAGTGGCGAGCAAAAAGGGCGATGCAGCGTTTATTGGACGGTAGCGATGGAGATGGCGGAGGAAATAACACCGTTTCGGCAATCGCTTTATCCGAGACGGTGGCCCAAGATGAGATCCTTACAATTTTTCTCAAGAGAACTGACGCAAGAGCACCGTTGGGGTTTTCCCTCTATGGGGAGCGTCCGCGTATACGCCGAATAGCGGGCTCAGAACACAAGGACGATAATGAGGGGAGGTCCGTTGATGAAAATATGAAAGACACTCCGTTTTCAGCTGCACTCCGGGCCGCCGGGGTTGTGGAGCCCCGCAGTGTTGTTGGTTGGTGTGTTGTGCAGATTGACGGCGCCGACGTGGAGAGTAGCAAAGCCGTCATCACACTCGTGCGGGGGAAGCATGAATTTTCCATGTCGCTCTCGCCTCCTGCGTAAAGTTGTGTCATCGGTGTAAGCACCGCTTTTGTTTGTGTGGAAATGAGAACGGAATGAACGAAAATTGAGAGTTGAGCGTTTAAATTGGCGCACGCAGAAACCAAAACTATGCTTGTTGCCTCTGTTACTGTTTTTGCTTTTGACAAAATATTTATTTATTTATTTATTTATTGGTACATTGCAAATAAGGCATTCTTTTTTTCTTTTCATTGATTTCAAGGTTTGGGTTTAAGAGTGCCCTTCATACAAACCGCAAAAGAACACGCCAACTTTTAGATGTTTTTTTTTTTTTAATAATGATGATTACTTATTGTTTCTGAAGTTAGCCCTTCAGTCCGATGCATTCATGACGATTGAACACCGTTCATTGCTGTGACTGATGCGCCTTTTACTCCTCTCCATTATCCTGTTACTTATTCTTTTGCCGCTCCTCTGCACTGTGGGACCGTGTGCCAAAACGTGCCTGTGTAAGCAGAGCCTACTGCAACATACCATAGTTGTGCTCTGTGATAGCGGTATCGGAGAGTTGTTGCTGTGAGCGATTCGCACATAATGATGATTACTTATTGTTTCTGAAGTTAGCCCTTCAGTCCGATGCATTCATGACGATTGAACACCGTTCATTGCTGTGACTGATGCGCCTTTTACTCCTCTCCATTATCCTGTTACTTATTCTTTTGCCGCTCCTCTGCACTGTGGGACCGTGTGCCAAAACGTGCCTGTGTAAGCAGAGCCTACTGCAAATGATGTTAATTGCATGCTTTTGTTTGTTGGATTCATCGGTTTTAGTACTACTATTAGGTAATTATATGCAGGAAGCGTCTGGGAGTGGTGAGGCATGTGCCCCTTCTCTTTTTGGAGAAGCAGTCAATTATCCTACGACCCCTGACACCATGAAAGATGTCCCGGCGACCATCCCGGCTACTGCTACTGCGATGAAGGTTCGTAGTCTTGCCGCTGGCCAAGTAGATCGAACCGTATCCGCCGCGTTACCGGACGGAATGCATGTTTCGAAGGATGCTCGTATCGCTTTTCAAAAGGCAGCTACTCTGTTTTTATTGTACCTGTCATGTCTTGCTGAGGATGAAAGGTCTCGAGAGGGAAAGAAACGTGTAACTCTTTCGGCGCACGACATCAAGTCTGCACTAAAGGCAGCCGGTATGTCCCATTTGCTTCCGTTGCTTGGCACCAGTCATATGAAGCGCATACGTACTGACGATAACTCTTTTCTTTAGGCAGTATTTGGGTGTCTATGAATCAAATCTTGTGCATGTGGGCCCTTTTGCAGTGGGAAGTGAGAAAGAGAAGCGAAAACAAAAAAAAACGACATGCAATATATATATAACCATATTTGCGGGATTTATTATGTGGAGTTGTCTAAAATAAGTTTTACGGAGGTATTTGGATGTCTTTTTTTTTTTTTTCCGTTCTTTCCTTTTTTTGGGGGGGTGAATTTACTGTGGAAGGATACAGAATGTTATGGAGAGTAATTTGTCTTCTAGCGGCCGACTTCAGTCCGGAGGCGGGGAGACTGCGCAAAATTAGTGCGGTATTTTTGATGCTTTGGATCTTGGATTTAGTTATGAGCATTTACTTTGACTGCCTGATCCTTAAAGTGAATGGCCTTGTTGTGCTTAATATATCGGTGGCCCTTGTGGCGGCTGCACTTTCATGCCAATACGACCATGATTGTGCGGTTTTTCCATACAGCAAGGGAAAGAACGGCCTGTCAGCGGCTCCCTCCGATAATAACTCGGCGAAAAGGGAGCGGAATTGGCTTCAAAATGACACGAAAGTAACTAGCGTCTTCTCCTTCGGTCTCAAAAGACTTTTTGTGCTTATTTCCTTTGGGTCTTCTGTTTTTGTCATGTTTGGCTGCCTTACAGTGATTGGGGAGGGTCTTCAACACGCCTTTCATTCATCCGATATGCCTTATTCCCTGCTTTTTTTCATTGGTTTTTGTCATATTGTTTTGTTTACAGCGTACGCGGAGGAAATTAATGCGTACGATTGCATTAGCGGTCGGGGGTTTGAGAATCGTGATGTGCATAACCTATCCAATGGAAAAATGACTCATTTACCCCATCACCTGCAGGAGCCTGTGAACGATTCTGTAAGCATTTTGCCCTTTGGTAGCGTTATTTTGCGTGCTACCAGTTGTGCATATGCTCCATTGACATGCATTGCGGTGTCCCTTATGACTATGCTTAGGAGGACCTTTCTGTGGGAGATGGCTGGAGCGCTGCTGTTGGCAAGTTACACTTTTGTGATTGCTACCAGGAAGGTAAAGGATATGGCTTGGCTGCTAACAAACAATTCTGTTTGTCATCCGTCTTTTGTTGCAGCCCGTGATCGTGCTATCCGCAGTGTGAAGCTGGTTGAGGGTGTGCTTCAGGTAAAGTTTTCTGTTTTTTGGGAGGTGAAGAAGGACGAGATTATGGCAATTATGTGTTTACGCATAATGTCGTCTGCCGATCCTTCTGCTGTGACTGTGGCGGTAAGGAAAATACTTGAGGGGGTTGCAACGTATGTCTTTGTTGAGGCTCGATTCCCAAACGACGAGGACGACGATACAAATATTTTAAAAGTGGATCACTTGTCCCATCACCATTCTCATGGCCACGGATGTTGTGATCATAGCAATCATTTTCACGACTCCGCCGGAGAAAGAAATGAAGAGAGGGAACGAGAAGGACACGAACGGGGTACAGAGAAAAGAAGGGAACATGACCATTTTTTTCCGGCTTTAGGGTCTGCTTCTTCATCTTCCATTTATTTTTCATCTCTTTCGCAGCCACCGGCTGCATCCGTGGTTGAGTTGGCTGAGCGCCAGGCGAGGCGAGGACCGTCCTTTAGTTCCGCAAATTACTCTGTCTCTACACCATTGCAGTCTCTGACGCTTGTCCCTCCACCGTTTCCCAGGCCACGTTCATGATGAACTGACCACACACGTCGTACTACAGGGATCTAGGAAAAATATATGCGTCTGGGCGTGCCCTGGATTTGTAGTTGTAATTTTGTCTTGTGATGCATGCAACTTCTGATTTTAATTCATATCTATATGTTTGTATGATCTATGGAAGTGAATATATTTGTATTCCTTTTTTACAACGGGGTGTATTTCCGCCTGCTTTTTTTTTTCCATATTTTAAAAAGAGGCACTCGCGCACACATACGCACATTTATGTATGTATATCTAACTACATGTAGTGATGTGACATTTTGGATGTTTTTTTTTTTTTTTAGATCTGTCCGTTTTGTTATTTGCCGTTTTTGACGTTGGTAAGGATGATTTTGCCTTCTTTTTTTTTTTTTTTTTTTTTTTTTTGAATTGTACCGTCACTTTTCTTTTGTACATTTTGTCATCGAAAAAAAAAAAGCCAAAATAAAAGAGTTGACACACGGGAGACGTGCCGCGAGAAAAATCGTGCCAGCTGTGGTGTGGGGTGAGAGTGGCTGGTGCGTGATCTTATATCTTCTCTTGGTTCTGTAGCTGCAACTGCTGCGTTGGGGTGGTGCTGCTTGTGGGGTTTCCTTTTTCCCAACTTTGAAGGGTGAAAAGGGTTTTGGTTCCTTGTGGCTTCTTTCACCGGGGTCTCATGGCAGCGATGGGGAGCCGGAGCCCAGTGGAGGACAATGTGGGGTTACTGGCACTTGACGCCATCGATGCTCTCTCGAGGGAATACATGGCATGTTTTGTTGTGGACCACGTGACGCCACACATCATGAGATGTCTCATGGAGGTGGTGTGCCCCGAGGCCGCGAGCGAGGCGAAGGACACCGCCACGGAGAAAGTGAGGGAACTTCACGTCAACGCGCAGCCGAGACAGGTGTCTTATCTGCTACGCACTCTCTTTAGCGCCAGTGGTGTGAACGTGGGAGATGTCGTGTCGCGCTGTGCTGAGGAACGCCACCGACTCACGGTGCAGATGGCGCGGCATCACTCATCAGTAATTTCGGTGCGGTCAAGATTACTTAATCAAGTGAAGAATTTTGAAACTGAGGGACTTAGTGCCGTGAAGGATTTGCAGGAGTCGCAAGCGTTGCTCGACGCGTTTGCTCCACGGATTCAAACACTGGAGACGGAGTTACGTGCGGTGCTTCCAGACTATGGGCGACCGGACGAGATGTTTTCATCGGGCATGAGGCAAATTATGGATGCAACCGCCGCCATCGATGCGAAGGGGACCGTGAGTTCTAAATGCGGTTATGCTCCGTCGAGAGATTTTGTGCTTCAGGCGGCCCGGCAAATTTTTGCGGAGTCGCATGCATCTTGGTCGAGAGAGGTGAATGGAGGCCGGCGCCAAGAACAGCAACAAGTACGCCCATCAGGTGGAAGGCCGAAGGAAAAAGACGCTCACTCGGGAGTGATGACGCCATTCAAAGGAACCGCACATGCCACGACGTCGCTTTCCGGTTTTTCTCTCACGTCCTCGACGCATTTCCCTCTTCAGGCGTTGGAATGCCACTCCGGGAAGGAGTTCTGCGATGTGCTCCCTCCAACGACCGTTGCGATTTCTGCCGAGGCCCTTTCTGCGCGGATGGCGGATAAGCGTCCGTTGCGCGTTCAGGAAGAAGAGCGTACGGCGCGGGAAAAAGAATGGAGCCCGCTTGGCAAGAACCGACTTGCTTGCAAGGACATACCGACTGGCCCCTCAGCGTACACTCGTCTGGCGGGGGTGCGCCATGCGCTGGAATTGGAGCAACAGAACTCTTGAATGTTATGGTCGTCATGAAAAAAAAAAAAATGTTTTTTTCTTTTGAATGCAAAATCAACATTCTGAGAGGAGGGGGAGAGAGACAGAGGAATAACGATTCTTTACCCCTTTCAATGTTGAACTGTACAGTTCTGGTAAATGAGGAATAATGGGAGTCTTGTCTGTGTGTGTATGACACGCAAAGTTGGGGCAAAACAATACCTCCATTCCCATTTTTGCTTCTAATGGTGCGGGGGGCGGGGCTTATGATTCTGCACTCTGCTTTCTGCTTGGGACCTTTTTTTTTTTTTTGCTTCATTGATCTCTTTTGACTTATTTATTTTGTTACAAGGCGATAAGCTGATGGCTCTTACCGTAACTTCATTTTATTTTAGTTATTATTATTATTTTTAAATTGTATATATATATATATAATTTTTCCTTTGTGTGCGCGACTGACTGTGTGTTGTTGTGTGTCAATTGACAAACAATAAAGCTCAGCACGATGTCAACTCCACTCGGAGGTCGTTTTTACCATGTTTTTACGAAAAAAAGTACGGATCATGTCATTGAATTACATATTCCGAGGGGTTACAAGGTTCTTTCTGGCGGCGTCCGCGCGTATGGAGCAACGGGCATTCTGTCGTCGTTTTATGATGCTGAGCGGGGGAGGTGGTTTCTGCAGCACGATCCTATAGATGATGGCGCATCTGTTCTGTTGCAGGTCGTCACATTGGTGGATCCAGACGATTGGTACGATGTGACCGTATCTTTTGTTTCTTTAAGAAACACTGTGGGGCCAGAGGAGCGAGAAAAACTTGTGCAGCTTGAGGAATGCCAGTATCCTGCACGCTTGTTTGAATCCAAGGATGAAGCAGGCAGTGCTCAAGCAGTCTGGGAGAAGCAAAGGCAGCGTCGCCAGTGCCGAATGAGCGGACGTGATACTGTGACATTGCACTGTCCCGTGGTGGATGGGTATACGTTGACTGGAGGCGGATTCATCTCTGGATACCCGGTCCTCGCGTCTTCTGCAGAAACGTGTGAGGAGTGGGATCAAAGGGAGTTATTGACGCGGTCTGGTGAGTCATCTTTCGCAGATTCAAACGGCGTCCCCAACAAAATGATGGCTTTTTCTACGGCCAGCACTCGTAGCGGAGTGTTATGCGATTCGTTCCCAGACCCTCCTCATTCCAGTGTGTCATCTACTTTGTTGAAGAATACGCGAAAAGACAAAGGCCCGACTGCGTGGTTTGTTATGGCCGCGGAGAATCTTTCACTTTCTTGCTACGCCATAGGCATTCGCCTCCGCACAGCGCGGCGGGAGGAAATATTGCGTGGAATGATGAGTAAAACTCTGCTCAATCGAGGCAAGTGTGATGTTCCTTCCGAGAAGACGGTCGCTGTGAAGGTGCACCACCAGTCAGGGGGGAATTGGGCCATTGAGTTGCCACCACCGCACGGGATTTTTTTTTTTCGCTTTGGTGTGTCTCGCACTCCCAATCCAATTGTGTTATCGGCGTTCTATCGGTGAGGAGAGGCGTGTTTACGTCTTTTTAAGCTACCTGAGGGGCTCTGCTGCAGTGTTTTGGTGAGTGAGTGCAAGGAATTCACTTTTTAATGAGTAAATCATCGCGTATCCTTTACCGCTTTTTGTTTCTTTTTTTTGGGGGGTGTTTTTTTTTGTTTATGTTTGCATGCTTGGTGGAGTTTATATTTTATATATTGATAGAATTTGCATCCAGAGAAAATGTGGCAGCGCACATTTACGCGCCGCATGCAGTACGGCTCAACGCCCAAAGACATCCGCTACTCGATGGAGGCACGCAAGGCACTCCTTATTGGCGTCGAAAACCTCGTGAAGGCGGTGGGCGTCACGCTTGGGCCCAAAGGGCGAAATGTTGTGCTGGAAATGCCGTACGCAAGTCCGAAGATCACAAAAGACGGTGTGACGGTCGCGAAGCACATTGAATTTGAGAACAGTTTTGAGAATTTGGGTGCAAACCTCGTCCGGCAGGTGGCCGGCTTAACGAACGACAACGCGGGCGATGGCACGACAACAGCCACAATTCTTTCGGGTGCCATCTTTCGCGAGGGATATCGCAGTGTTGCCACCGGCACAAATCCAATGGACCTCAAGCGCGGTATTGATCTGGCGTGCCGTGAGGTGCTGGCCTCCCTTGCGGAGCAGGCAAAACCGGTGACATCCAAATCAGAGATCACACAGGTGGCGATGATATCGGCTAACATGGATAATGAAATTGGGGCGCTGATTGGGGATGCGATGCAGCAGGTTGGTAAGGACGGCAT